CTACTGCACGTTCAAGAGCAAGTTTCAGAGTCTCTTCTGACATCCATTTAGGTGTTTTCTTTCTTTGCTGTCTTCTTAATGACCTCTTGCTTTCTTCATGTATGATGTCCTCGATGTCATTCAACAACTTGTCTGGTCTTTAGTCATTAGAGTTCAATACCTCAAATTTATTCTTGAGATGATCTCTAAATTCACGTGGGATATACTCAAGGTCGTACTTTGGCTGTCGTGGACTTATTCTAATTTTCTTCAGCTTCCACTTGAACTTGCATATGAGCAATTAATAGCCTGTTCCACAGTCAGCCCTGGTCTTGTTCTGACTGATGATAATTGAACTTCTCCATTGTCTCTTTCTACAGATGTAGCCAATTTGATTCCTGTGTATTCCACCCGGCAAGGTCCACGTGTATAGTCGCCATTTATGTTGTTGAAAAAAGGTATTTTCAATGAAGAAGTCGTTGGTCTTGCAAAATTCTATCATGTGATCTCTGGTGGTGTTTCTATCACCAAGGCCATATTTTCCAATTACTCTTCCTTCTTTTTTGTTTCCAACTCTCACATTCCAATCACTAATAATTATTAGTGCATCTTGATTGCATGTTTGGTCAGTTTTAGACTGTAGAAGTTGATGAAAATCTTCAGTTTCTTCCTCTTTGGCCTTCGTTATGTGGGTGTTAGTCTTCCATCTGCTGAGGAGAAAACTGAGGCTCAGAGAGGTTGAGTGATTTGCCTAGGGCCACATGGCTAGTAAGAAGCACAGCTGGAATTAGACTCCAAAGCAGTGTTCCCTTTTTTTTTTTTTTTAAATAATATTTTATTTTTTAGTGAAAGTTTATACAGCAAGTTAGGTTCCCATCTGACGATTCCCACAGATTGTTGAGTGACGTTAGTTACAGCTTTCACGGTGTGTCAGCATTCTCTCTAACTGTGTTCTGTTTGTTCCCTTTCTAGTACCCTAGTTTCCCTGCCTCCTTATTTCTCATCTTTGCTTTCGAGTCATTGTTGACCTTTGCCCTCATACTGATGGTTTTTAAGCAGGGCACCCATCTTACAGCTAATATCCTTTATTTTGTGTGCCGCTCTGCTATTTCACTAAAAGGTGATCTCAGAGCATAGGCTCGGTTCTCGGTGTAAAGAGTGTCTCAGGGTGATAGTCTCAGGGAATTCTCTGTTCTCTACTGTTCCAGTTTGTCTGGCTTTATTTTTATTTTTTAACGAGAATTTGAGTTCTGCTTCATATTTTTTTCCCCATTGTATCCAGGGCCAACTGTTGTGACCCCGTTCAGAACAGTCAGTGGTGGTAGCTGGGTAGATGAGGTCGTGGCTCATGTAGACTTGTTTCTTCTCTGCACTTTTGGTTACCTTCTTACTGTTGTCTTTCTGGCAAGTAGAGACACATAGTTGTGTCGTAGATAGCTGCTTAAAAGCAAAGCAGTGGTTCTTGCTCCTCTTATCATGCTGTTCCTGGGTAATCTCACTGGCTTATTGCAGGCTTCACTGCTGGGGAGTCAGGGTCTCTATCAAACGAGCTGGTATGTCGGAAGATACCTGCCATTGTTAAGTTTCGTGAAAAAGAAGAAGATGCGGCGAGCAACATTTATCAAGCACTTCTCGCATCTCTAGGCTCTGCCAGTAACCTTTTAAGCATTATTTCATTTAGTCCCTATAACAGCCCAATGGCTGGCCACATATTACAGATGAGGAAACCGAGGCTCAGGGAGGTTGAGAACTTGTCCAGAGTCACACTACTGGGATTTGCACACCAGCGCTGGTCCCAGAGCCTCCCCTGGCAGATGCCTTCTGTCCAGGCAGCTCCTGTGGCCTGCTGGGGCAGCTGCCAAAATGGAAGGCCAGCCCAGCCTTCCCTGTGACCATGCAATTCTGGACAGCTGGAACAGCAGGGCCACCCATGCCACTTTGGTTTGAAGCCTGCGGGGTAGAGGGTAGGCGGCTGGGGTTGCTCTCTGGCAGCAGCCAAGTTCCTACACTCAGGTGACTGCAGGACAGTGTAATGAGGTTGCGCGGGGACGGAAGGCTGTCACGGGAGGTGTGGTCTGAGAACTGAGGGAAAGTGGAGTCAGCCATGGAAGGTGGTCCAGGCTGAGGGGACCCTTTGGAGTCACCTGCTGGCCCGTCAGCCTCCCTGTTACCCAGCTGGGAAAAGCAGTCCGTCTCAGGGCCTCCTGCCCCCCTGAGAGCAGCATTGGGCAAGGAGATGCGAAGCCAGGTGAGACTACTTGTCGGGGAGTGCATTCATCATTTCCCTACACCTGCAGACCGGCTTGAGGCGGCCCTGCCCTCGGCTTTGATCACAGGAGGGAGCCTCATTTGGGCTCTCCTTCCAGGTGTGAAATGCAAGGCCTGTGAAAGCTCCACCTACTTGTGAAGTGCAAACCCACTTCGATTTATTAATTCTCGCTAATGGCCCATAATCACAGCCCGCCTGTTAGGGAAGGGCGAGTTCCTTGGAGGCTAAACTGGGCCGGTCCCGGCGTCTGGGGCAGCCCCTGGCCTGCCTGGGGTCTTGGCACTTGTTAGGTTGCTCTGTCTCCCTCCCTCCATCCTCTGTGATCCTGGGCGAGTGTCCTTGGCTGGTCACTTAACTCCTCTGTGCCTCAGTGTCCCGAGTTGTCAGGGTTAATGGTGTGGTAAGTAGGACGTGTTTGGCACTCAGTTCCTCGGTCGCTGTCAGCTGACCAGTAGGCAGAAGAGTACAGAGAAGACAGGAAAAGCCACTTGGCTGTCCCACATGAGCACTGATCACTGAAGGGGGTATGTGCTCCCCAGCATCCTTTGTGCGCCACATGTACTCTGTTGCACATACTTGTGATCGCTCTTGTGTATGCCGTGTGCAGTCTCTGTTCCACAGCGCGGGCAGCAGGGTTTTCCGTCTCAGCCAACTTCCTAGCTTCCTTTCGCACTTCTTTCCCAGCTCCCTAAGCTCAGCCCACCTAGCCTTATACTTTCTTCCCTCCCAGTCTGGCTCACCTCAGTCCCTCTCTAATGTTCCCGTTGGGATCCCACGTGCCCTTCAGCACCCAGCCCGGCAGAAGCACCGTCTTCTCCCAGAACCTTATCTTATTCTGATTTTTCCCTCTTGACTTTCTCAGCCTCTGGTCATTGCTTTTTTTTTTTTTTTTTTTTTTAGTTGTGCTTTAAGTGAAAGTTTACAGCTCAGGTTAGTTTCTCATACAAAAATTTTTACACACATTTTATGTGACCCTAGTTGAACTCCCTATACTGTGACAGCACACTCCTCCTTTCCACCCGATTCCCCGTGTCCATTCAACCAGCTCCTGACCCTCTGCCTTCTCATCTCACCTCGGACAGGAGCTGTCCATTTGGTTTTGTGTATCTAACTGAATTAAGAAGCACACTCTTCATGAGTATCATTTGATATCTTATAGTCCAGTCTAATCTTTGTCTGAAGAGTTAGTTTTGGGAATGGTTTTAATTCTGGGTTAACAGAGAGTCTGGGGGCCATGTCTTCTGGGGCTCCTCCAGTCTCAGTCAGACCATTAAGTCTGGTCTTTTTGCTAGAATTTGAGTTCTGCACTCCACTTTTCTCCTGCTCCGTCAGGGACTCTCTGTTGTGTTCCCTGTCAGGGCGATCATTGGTGGTAGCCAGGCATCATCTAGTTCTTCTGGTCATAGGCTGATGGAGTCTCTGGTTTATGGGGCCCTTTTTGTCCCTTGGGCTAATATTTTCCTGTGTCTTTGGTGTTCTTCATTCTCCTTTGCTCCAGGTGGGTTGCAACCAATTGATGAATCTTAGATGGCCGCTTGCAAGCTTTTAAGACCCCACACGCCCCTCACTCTGGTCACTTCTTAATGAGACTGCCCTCCATGTTTCCTTGGTTTTAGAGGTATGAAACCACCCCGCTGTGCTGTGGTTGAAGATCTTGCTGCCCGGCAGATCCGTAGCTTGTGAACTCAGGGCAGGGATCATGTTCTGTGTATCGTCGTACTCCAAGTGCTGGGCAGAGTGCATGGGAGATGCTCAACAAGTATTTGAATGAATGAACCAGCGGACAAACAAATGAACTGGCCTTACTCTATCCACCGAGAGGCAGCTCAGAAGAAGGGCTGGTGATCTACTTCCGAAAGATCACAGCCATTGAAAACCCTGTGGAGCGCCGTTCTGTCCTGACACACACGGAGTTGCCGTGAGTTAAAATCAACTTGATGGCAACTGGTTTGTCTTCTTCAGTGACTGATCATTCGGTCCTTTGTGCATTTGTGTAAATAACCTCGTAGGGGGCTGTTAGCACCTTGAAGGCAGGCAATATTTTTGCTCTTAGCAGACCCTTAATAACTGTTGTATTGAATGGAATGGACTTAAGGCAGTAGGACTCGAAGGTCCCTGGGTGACACAAACAGTTTGTGCTCGGCTGGTAACCCAAAGGTTGGCGGCTCGGACCTACCCAGCAGCTCTGTGGAAGAGACAGGCCTGGCGGTCTGCTCCTATAAACATTACAGCCAAGAAAACCCTATGGAGCCGTTCCAGTCGGTAGTGGGGTCTCCGTAAGTCATAAAAGCAACAACAGCAAAACCAGAGAACTTGCTTGCATAGTGTTGAAAGAACTAGAACGCATCTTAGTTTCCCATCTGTAAAATGAAGGTTGGACCAGACGATCTCAGACAGAGAGGAAGAGTGAGTGTCGGCCTGGGCTTGCAGAGTAGTTGAGTGGCAGATCTGGGATGGGCCAACAGCCTCTGTCCCCTGCAGGCCGCTTTGCCTTGGCTCCTCTCTGCTCTCTCCTGAAGGTGGTGGGGGTTCTATCAAAACTCCCCCCTCGGCCTGCCTGTCAGATGAGCATCCTGAAGCTCCCAAAGCAGAATTACCAGGGTGCTGTAGAGGGAAGTGGCTGTGTCTGCTGCTCGAGATAATTCCCTCGGGTCTACAGAAACCTGGCCACTCAGCAGCTGCCTCCAAGGTTCCTCCCTGCAAGAGGGGCTGAGAATGCAGCCTGCTAACCAGAGGCCTGCTTTGCCCACAGGCCAAGTACCTGGCCCAGATCATTGTGATGGGTGTGCAGGTGGTGGGTAGGGCCTTTGCCCGGGCCCTACGGCAGGAGTTTGCAGGTAAGCCCGGGCCCCGACTTTCCCTGCGTTTTTGTAGCAATGGGCTCCTGAGGCTGGGCAGGCTTGGAATGTAGAAGGGTCCCTCCGTGGCTGGGGCTCTGGGGCACTTTCCCACTGTGGGAGGAGATGCTGGCTTTGGGAAATTCCTACCTAAGGAAAAGGCTTTTTTTTCTCATCCTACTCAGTCAAAATGAGTACCCAGGGCAGGGATAGGAGTTCCTGGGTGGCACAAACAGTTAAGCACTCAACTACTAGCTGAAAGGTTTGGCAGTTCAAACCCACCCACAGGTGCCTCGGAAGACAGGCCTAGCAATTTGCTTCTGAAAGATTACAGCCTTGAAAACCCTACGGAGCTTTCTACTCTGCACACACGGGGTTGCCGTGAGTCAGAATCAACTCAACAGTAACTAGCAACAACAAGAGCAGGTGTGGGCAAACTGGCCCGCCTGAATGGCTGTTTGGTAAATAAAGTTTTATTGGAACATGGCCATGCCCATCTGTTTACGTATTGGCTGGCTGCTTTCGTATCAGAGTTAATTGTGACCAGGACAGTTTGCCCTTCAGAGTCTGAAATATTTATTCTCTGACCCTTTAAGAAAAAGTTTACCACTCCTGATTCTTGGGTCATTGAGGGGAAGTGGTCCCCTAGGCAGCCTACTGTGGTGGCAGCATGGGTAAGCGGGGGGGCAGCCATCCTGGCAGAGTTACTGCCGCCTCCCTCTGCCCACAGCTTCCCTCTGTCTGGTCCCCAGAGCAGCCTAAAGCTGCCCAATTTGCTGTGCCCCCGGCTGAGGAGAGGAAGAGCCAACAGGGACAGGGTCACCTGTGGTCAACGTTGGGGACTAGATACAGATTTGATGGCCAGACCCTGCCCTTATCCTCCTGAGGGTGTGTCTGACCGCACTTCACCCCGTCTCTCCTGGAGAAGAGACACCTGGCCACGTCTCTCCCCGTGTGTCTCCTCCCATGCCACCTGGGAGGGGTACGCCCCACACGAGGAAGGCCCAGGGGGAGCTCTGGGCCCCAGGGCCACCAAGGGCTGAACACTCACCCCTGTATCTACGCAGCCAGCCGGGCAGCAGCTGACGCCCGTGGACGCGCCGGCCACCGTTCTGCTGCTGCCTCCAACCTCTCCGGCCTCAGCCTCCAGGAGGCCCAGCAGATTCTCAACGTCTCCAAGCTGAGCCCTGAAGAGATCCAGAAGGTGAGGCGACCGGCTCCCAGACACACCAGATGTGGGGGGTGGGGAAGGATGAAGGGAGGCTCTGGAGGCAGCCACTGTCACTTGTTCATTTTTCGGCCCAATGCAGTTGCAGGGACAGGAGCAGCTGGTGGCCCCCGTCCACTTCTCTGCCCCTCGCTGCGGTGGCAGCAGCCCCTGTACTGCATGGCATGCCAGATGGAGTGGAGGGGTCAAGCTCTCTAAACTTTCCTTCTCCAACATCTAGTAGCTTCCACTGCTATCTCTGTAATTCGTCTTTTCTTCTCATAGAACTATGAACATCTGTTCAAGGTGAACGACAAATCTGTGGGTGGCTCCTTCTATCTGCAGTCCAAGGTGAGTGGCCTGTGATTCCAGGGGGAGGGTGAGCTACCGCACTTCTCGCCGGGGTCCCTCGTTTCCAGCAGGGGGAGCTGGCAGCTCAGCGCTTGGCTGGTGGGAAGGTCTGCCAGGCCCTTCCATCCCTTATGCCCCAAACCCACCCCTGCTCCCTTGACGGCCTCTGTCTGCATGGCCCACTGATCCGGCAGTGTCTACCTCGGCCCTGCAGCCAGGACTCTGAAGGAGTGGGACCGTTAGTTGGCCGTGTGCTGGAGCCACCGCTCGGCTCGTCTTCCTGTGGAGGCAGTGCTGGCCCCCAGGCCACCCCAACCCGGGACGCCAAGAGAGGGCATTTGTATTGCGCTCAGGCTCTCGGCCTCAGACAGGAGACCTGCCCACTGCTCTCGGGGGGACTCACCGCTGAAGTTGAACCTGGGAAGGGAAGAGACCATCCTGTGTGGGCAGAGGGGAGAGGCCCCCGCAGGCGCACGACCCGATTCACTGCGTTTGACTTCCCTCACCAGGTGGTCCGTGCAAAGGAGCGCCTCGAGGAGGAACTCAAAATCCAGGCCCAGGAGGACAGAGAGAAAGAGCAGGTGCCCAGGACGTGACCGCCATGCTTCCCACCCCACCCTTCTAATTTATAGTTCTGTAATAAAGGTCGTTTCTGTGGTCTTGTGTGTGCCCACCGGATTCCAGAGGCAAGTCTGCCCCTCCTGCTAGCTGCGGGAGCGTCTCGGGAGTGCAGCTGGGGCAGCATGGCCCTGGGCAGCCTGTGATGGGGGGAACCAAGCCACTCCCCAAAGTTGAGCCCCATGTGGCCTGACTAACAACCCCAAACAGGCTGCTGGGTGCTACAGGGTGTGGGGAGTGGCACATCCACGGCACAGACACACCTCTGCAACTCACTTTATTGTTTCTTTATAAACCTCCTCTCACACGGAGGAATATATTGTTATAGTCATTAGCTTATCTTTTTTTCTTTTTTTTTAAACTCTATGCTAACAGCAACTGAGCCGAGAGGAGGAAAAACATAAGCTACAATAGAAAGGCACTTAGAACCTGTTAAAATACTGATAATCCTGGAATGTGCAACGACAGACTGACAACAAGAACACCGGCGTACAGCCTGGTCTACCACCAATCACATGCTGCCTAAGCTGCCCTCCAGTGCCCGTCCCTCCTGGCCTGGGGCCCCGGGCACACTGGGGGGTCTGGGGAGGGGCCCCAAGAAGGGAGACCAGCTCCCTCCTACGAGGCTCGCAACCCCTTGGAGGGGCGGAGCCAACCCTGGCGGGGGCTGGGGTCCTAGGCCCACAGCAGGGGCGGGCTGATCAGGGTGACCCCTCTGGGACAGAAGGGCAGTCCAGGAAGGGACGGGGCCACCAGATCCGCTCCGAGGAGCAGCAGGGGGTTCAGGCACTGCAGGGCTGCTGAGGACCCCATGCCTCAGGTGGGGAGGTGGAGGGGCTCTGTCACCCTGTTGCCTAGGGGCAGATGGCTACAAGCCAGAGCTAGCTGCCAACTGCCAGGCCACTCCTCTGCCTTGGCAGGGCAGGCCGTGTCCCCCAGGGATGGTGGGGGCCTGGTGCTGAGTCCAGCAGGGGCTGTGGTGCACAGGACTCTCCCACACCCTCAGCTAATCGGGCTTGGGCCCTCTCGAGTCAGCATAGACCTGGGCAGCTGGGCAAGGGCTGGGACCAAGGGGGTTGCTTCTAGGACGGGGAAGCACGGGAAACTGCCCCATGTGCAGGTTCCTTCCTCCAGCCCCCTTTCCGAGCGGAGGGCTGGGCCCCTGTGGCCACCCCTCCAAGCTCAGGGCCTCAGTCCCCACCCCCAGATGGCTCCGGTCCTCCCTGTGTGTCGGTTGTGACGTGGCATCCACGATGGGACCTGTGTCCCAGCCTGGGGTCTCCCCAGCCAGCCTCCTACCCACAGGGTGACCCTGGTGACCGGTACAGGACGGACACATTGCAGGCCTTCGCAGGTCAGGCCCCAGGGGTCTCTAGGAGCCAAGAAGCCGGGCCCAGCCGGGCTGAGGATGAGGGAGACGCCCCACCTAATCCCTGAGCAGGGGCTGGCCCGAGGCTGGGACCTCTGCCCTGGCCCACTGCCACCCAGCCAGCATCTCTGCCCTCCCCCACCTAAGACTCTCCAGGCCCACTTCCCATGCTCACAGGGCTCCCTGAGAGGCAGAGTGGGAGGTGGTTAGGTGAGGGGGGGCAGGTGTCCCTGCCATGGGGAGCCTTGTCATCCATCCCTCAGCAGTGCCCACTGTGTCCGGAAGGGGGAGTGGCATGGAGCAGGGGTCAGAGCAGGCCTCCTTGGAGGGAGCAGGAGGCACCTTGTCATGGGGGTGAGCAGGAACACGGCAGCTTCTCTGTGGCTTTGCCAGGGCCTGCGTCTGTTTTGCTCCCCTCCGGAGCATGGGTCAGAGGGAAAGGGGTTCATGGATCCTGGGGAGCAGGGTTGTCTGAAGCTAGGCAGGAGTGGGCAGGGCCTGCTTCTCCGGGCTCCTGGTCACAGCCCTCTTGGGGTGGGGGTGGGTACCTCCCCAGTCCCTGCCCTCCCTGTGGCTGACAGGTGGACCGAGCAGGGAGCGTGGGCACTGGGGTGGGGAACGCAGTGAGACCGAGGGTGAGGTGGAGAACCAGGGGGTTGGGGGTGCTGCAGAAGCTGTGGGGGGCAGGAGGGCCAGAGGTGCGCACCGCCTCAGCACCCAAGAGCCCAGCTCTCTGGATGGCAGGTCCATTGCCTCCTTCGAGAGCTGGCAGTCACCTAGCACCATCCTGCAGCCCAGCGAGTCTGGGGCTGGTCTGCCCAGGAGCACAGCCAGCCAGGTCCCGCAGGCAGGAGGACATTATTGCTATTTCGCAGAAGAGTTTCCGTTCGTCAAGGTGGGGCCAGGAGCTGGGCGGCTCAGTTCACCACGGCAGGCTTGAGCAGCACGGAGCCCGGTGGGATGACCACCCAGCCGGGAGCCAGCGCCTCTGGGCTGCTGGCTGCCGAGCTGATTCCGGTGGACAGGTCCAGCACGGTGCCTGGCAGCAGAGGTGGTCCGTCAGGGCCGGGCTGGGAGCGGCCACCCTCAGTCCTCTCAAGTGGTGTCTTTCGGCCCTCCAAGCCCAGGGCCCTGGCTGGCCCTGACCCACGCCCCTTCTCCCCCTCAGCCTTGCCGCCAGCGGAGCCAGCGAGAAGGGAGACCACGGGCAGACCCAGTCCACCTGCCCCGAAGGGAGAGGGCAGCAGTGGGTTCTTGGCCAGGTTGAGCGGCAGGACAGGGCCTGGCAGCCCGGGACCCATGCCCGCCGCACCCCCACCACCCCCACCATTGCCACAGGCCAGTGCGCTGAGGTCGAGGGGGCCGGGGGCCAGGGGCAGGGGCAGGCCGGGCAGGCCAGAGCCTCCGAAGAGGGCGGCAGGGTTGGGGATGATGATCTGGGCCCCGCTGACATAGGGGCTACCGTCGGGGCCGGGCAGCGGGGGCTTGGGGGGTGGGCGCAGCGGCAGGAGCTCTTGCTGCTCGTGGGACACGAAGTGGCCGTGGGCCTTGATGTGCTTGCGCAGCGAGCTGGGGTCCGTGTAGCGCTTGTGGCAGCCGGGCATCTTGCAGTAGTAGGGCTTGTCCACGTAGTGGGTGCGCGTGTGCTTGAAGCGGTCGCTCGAGTTAGAGTAACGCTTGTTGCAGCCCTCGTAGGGGCAGACGTAGGGCTTCTCACCTGTGGGGCAGCCATGGGTGTAAGGGGTCTCCCCCTCCCATGGCTCCCCAGCCCCGCATCCCCCAGACCATGAGCTTCCTGAAAGCATGGCTATCCGATTTGAGGGTGCACTCCCAGCACCTGGCATAAGTCCCAACCCCAGGTGGGGGCAGCCAGGAATGGCCATTGGGAAGACAGCCCGGTCCACCCTAGCTCTGCCATGACCTCAGATAATGGGAAACTGCGTTGACCCGTGGAACGGTGAACGTGGAGATAATACAATTTACACCGCCAGGACACTGGCTGTCCTTGTACTTGGCCCTGACTTGACAAATTGGCTCAAGACTCACTGAGTGTCTGCTGTTGCACCGACCAGGACAAGAGCATCTAGCCACATGTGGCCATTGAGCCCTCCAGATGTGGCCAATGTGAATGGAGCTGTGCTGTGCGTGTGAAGTACACACCGCGTTTCAGAGACTTTGTTTCCATAACCAGTTGTCATCAAGTCAATTCTGACTCTTGGCAACCCCATGTGTGTCAGTAGAACTGGGCTTTAAAGGGTTTTCTTTCAGAAACAGATCACCAGGCCTTTCTTCCAAGGCGCCTCTGGTGAGCTCAAACTTCCAATCTTTCTACCAGCAGCCAAACGCATTAACTATTTGCAGCACCCAGGACTTCTCATCTTTCATACTGAGACGATAGTGTTTTAGATACTTTGGGTTCAATGAAGCATTTTATTACAATTAATTCCACCTATTTCTTTTTACTTCTTTTCACGTGGCAATTAGAAAATTGTAAATCATAGATGTGGCTGGCGGCTGGCGTTCTGTTTCTCTGGGCCGTCGGTGGCCCTACTGTGTACTGGGGGCACAGCAAGGGTCAAAGCAGACACAGTCTGTGCCGTCAGGAAGCACACAGTCTAGGAGGGAAGACGTAAGTCACATGATCGTGCAAATTAACAAGACTGAGTGCCACGAAGACGAGGCTGGGCTCTGAGCGCGGAGTCAGGGTCCGACCCACAGGAAGGGCTTCCCCTAGCAGACAGCATTCAGGCACACAGATGCGTCTGTAATCCCTCCGAATGCCCTTGCCCCTTGGATGCCTGCCTCCCCAAGGCCCAGAGCCAAGTCCTCTGCCAGCGCCCCGACTCGGCCCACACCCCGGCAGCGCCCCTCACCTGTGTGTGACCGGTTGTGGATCTTCAGGTTCTCCAGGCGGGAGAAGCTCTTGTTGCAGGTGGGGCAGCGATGAGGCTTCTCGTTGGTGTGCGTGCGGATGTGGATCAGCATCTTGTACCTGCTCCAGGTGAGGTGCGGGAGGAGGGTGTCAGCTCACTGGACGCGGAGCCCTGTCCCCCTCCCCGGGGCCCTGCGCCGTCCTCCCTCACCTGGCATTGAAGCCCCGGCCGTGGCGGGCACACCCCTCCCAGTGGCAGCAGTACCCAGCATCCTTTTCAGGCTTCACGTGGTAGTCGTTGACGTGGTCCACCAGGTCTTGCAGGAGCTCAAAAAGCTGGTTACACTGCGGGGCAGGGAGGGTCTGAGCCCCGCGTGGTGCCGCCCACCGGGCTGGCACACACCCCTCGTCGTGGCCCCACTCACCTTGGCCCAGCGACACACAAGCTGCTTGGGCAGGGGCAGCTCGGGCGAGAGGCACTTGTCCTTGGGGGGAGTGAGGAAGGAGGAAGCAGGCAGGTGCAGGGCACTCCCAGAGCCCAGGGGCAGGAAGAACTGGAAGGAGCTGGGCATGCTGTCCAGGTAGCGAAGCGGCTGGAAATCCTGGGGCAAGAGGACGCGGGGCAGGCTGCTCAGTGCCCCGCTGCTTGGCAGGCCCTCCACCCTGTCACCCTTGCTCTCCAGACTCTCACCCCCTCCTTACCGGGGCGCTGGGCACTGGAGGCAGGTCCCCGTTGCCCTGGCGCTCAGGAGACAGTGAGCTGCTGCCATTGGGGGAGTCCAGCCCAGACGGCGGGGACAAGCTGAGGTCCACCAGAGGGGCCGCCGAAAAGCGTCCCTCCACCTTCTCAGGGAATTTGGGGTTCAGCAGGAAGCCTAAAGGAGAGGCACAGTGCTGGGGTTGCTGGAGCTAGGAGTCCACCATAAGCCTGGATACAGACACTTGCCACATCACCCCAGACCACCTGGGCTTCCAGGTGTCTAAGGACGACCTGTACTGCTGATAAATGTGACAAGACACCACCCAGCTCATTCAACCTGCACCCCTAGGCAAGCTTGGCCCGTGGGTGGCATGGAAGGTGGGAAGAGCCGTTATGCAGACGAGGATGGTGGGGCACACAGCTCGAGGAACAGCTCAGGCCCTCGACCCCAGTCCTGCTCCCCTTCATTCCTTCCCAGCCTGCTTCCTGCCTCAGTGTTCCCTTCTGCAGAATGGGAGGCTTGGGCCGGCTGCTTCCGAAGGCCTTCCAGCTCCGACGTGGTAAATCTGGTTTTCAGGGTCCACACAGAGACAGAGCAGAAGGGTAACCACCATGCCAGGCCTGAGCCCCAAGCACCCTTAGGATGCGCTCTCTGGACTCAGCCCCCTCCTACCTACCCGGGATGCCCAGCCACAGCCTCCAAGCCCAGGCATTGTGGTCATGGGACCTTTTGTTACTGCTTCTTCTGGATCCCCCTCCCACTGAAAACCCATTGCCATCCTGTCAGTTCTGACTCATAGTGACCCATTGGAGTAGAACTGCACCAGAGGGTTTCTATAATCTTTACGGATGCAGACTGCCTCATCTTTCTCCCACGGAGAGGCTGCTGCTGGGTTCAAACTACTGATCTTTCAGTTAGCAGCCGAGCACTTAACCACTGTGCTACCAGGGCACCTTACACACCTCACTAACCCCTCCAAATTCTGCCAGGGGCCTCTGTTTGAATCCCGCCTCTACTGAGTGAAGCTGCAGAGCACTTGAACTTGGCAAGTCAGCTCCCGGGATACCATCACCTCCAATCAGAAACTGTTGGGAGGATCAATGGGAAAACGTGCGGAGGCCGGGAGTGGAGAGGGGCTGTGGTTCCATCTTGGTGGATACACCTTGGAGGTTGTCCCCATCGCCACGGCTCAAACAGGGCTCAGTGTCGCCCCAGCCCCGCCCCGGGTGCAGTACCTGAGGGTGGGGAGCCTGGGGAGCCTGGGGTGGGGCTGCCGTCCACCAGGCCGAGCTCCCTGTGCAGAGTGCGGTGCCGGACCACACCCATTGTCCTCTCCCGCTTCTCTCTCGCCGCCCGGAGCTTGGTGATACTCAGCTTCAGGTCGAGCGGCTCGTCCAAGGAGTGCATGGTGATGGGGGGCTGGGGTCAGGGGCGGCCAGGCGAGTGGGGCTCCCAGATTGGTCTTCAGGCAGGAACCTGGAGGGAAGACAGGAGCTGCACTGTGACACTGTGACCCCAGGCTCCTCCTTGGGCTGTACCATTTAAAGCCCACGGGAGCCAGGCAGGGAGAGTGTGTGGGGCAACGTAAGCCTATCCCCCAGGCGGGGAGACCCTTTAGAGGCCCTGGCCTGCAGGTGGTATGGACAGAGCCAGTCACCCCCTGAACGGTTCCATGTTCACTTCCCGCAAGTCTTTTTTGAGCTGAAGGTCTCCATTTTGCCATGAAAATGAGTTATAGAGAAACTGCCTCAGTCACAAAGCTAAGAAGTGGCAAGTTCAAGGCCAGCTCTTCTCCCTGGCACTGGCCAGGCAAGCCCAGCAGTCAGAGGGAAACCATGCTCCATTTGAGCCAGATGACCCAGAGTCAGAGGGGGAGCAATGTGCCCTCCAAAGTGGCCGGGCCACGCTATTATTCCACTACTGACTGCTGAGCACCTGCTGTGCGTCAGGCAGGGTGGACACTTGTCTGTCCCTGGCAGTCAGGTGTGACCTTCCCTGAGGAACTGAGGCTGAGAGGTTGTCCCAGGCAAGCCGTGCAAAGCCAGGGCTTTACACCAGCTGGCACCAGGGGATCCGATGGGGCCCAGGCAGGTGGGCCCACCTCCCAAGTGAGGCCTGGAGAGCCAGAGGGCCCCGGGCCGCCACCAGGGGGCAGCTGGGGGCTGTGGCCCGACCAGGCTGCCAGGGGCCAAGGTGAACCAGCTCTGATGGGTAGTAAAACGATTCCCACATTTTGCCCATGTGTCTGCTTGGTGTTGCCAGGTGTGCACAAGCCACCCAGGGCTCTCCCAGGGAGGACAGCGGAGGGCAGCCCCACGTCCCCACATCTCTTCTCCCAGCCAAGCCCCTACAGGAGCTTTACGGGCTCTGCACCTGACCTGGTCCCCAGCCCTGCTCCATCCTTCCCCCAGACGGGCTCCACTCTGGCCAAGACCCTCCCAGAGCTGAATGCTGCCCACCACGTGGCACGCAGGAAGATGGTCCCCTCCCTCACTTGGGACCCTCTGCTCCGGCAACACACCCCAAGATCCCACCAGCAAATGGCCAACATCAGGGTCCGAGCACAGGAGGCTGCCCAGCTTCCAGGGCTGCACTGCCCACAGCATGGGTGGCTGCACTTGGCCGTGGACCCAGACCCATGACTCTGCTCGTCCCCATAAGCTTCTTCAGGTCAGAGCTGGTGAGTTCCCCAGCCCCTCGTATCTGTTTAGATTTGCCCCGCCCCCCACCTCACTCCAGACCTCCCAGTGATGCAAGGGGGGCTGCCACCGTCCCTCTCCTGGAGCCCCTGGCCCAGGCCAGTAAATAAGGGATGGACCTGGCCCCCCTTCCTCTGGCTGGGCAGGGAGCTGCTCTCTGCCTAATACCCCCTTCCCCCCAGTCATGTCTGTCTGTGTGTCTGCCTGTCCCTCCACCTGTTTATTTTTAGACATTGGCCCCGTCCCACCTCCCTGAAGCTCCTCTGTGCTGGAAGCCTGGGCAAGGGGAGGAAGGAAGTAAATATTTATGCTGATTAAGAATTCAGGAGCCAGGAAGGGATGGTGGCTTGGTCCCTCTGCTGGCCCAGGGCCACAGGCCTCCCTGCAGCCTCTACCCCCCACCCAGCCCCAGCCTTCCGGACAAGGGGACCACGATGTCTGGAAGGTTTGGGAGCTGGGAATGTGGACTACCCAGATGACGCTTGTCAGGCTGCCGGTGACCATCGCTTGGCACTGACCCGCTGGCCTCCCTCCGGGAGGAGTCCAGGGGCCCTGGGTGACCTTGTTCTTCAGACCTGCCAGGGACACTGCCTCAACCCGGGGCTGGGGAGGGCCCCAGGAGGAGCCTGTCTCCCAGGGTGGGGCCCAGGCACAGCGCCCAAAGCGGGCAAGGGGGACTCCAGCCCCCAGCTCTCAATCCCCAGGGACCCCACCCCCACTTCCTGCCACGGGGTTCTGCCCAGGGAGGCAGGGGTTCATTCCAGTGGAAGTCAGAGCCCAGCCCGAGGCCCCGCCCTCTCCCTCCTGGGAAAGGAGGAAGGAGCTGACCCAAAAGCCCAGAGCTCCCAGCACCCCCACCCCAGGCTGACCCCACCCTAGGGTGGGGGGAGACCTCCTGTGACCCCATTCCTGCTTTAACCTTGGCCAACCTCAAAGTGTCCCCTTCCACTCCCGCCCCACCCCCAGCCGGCAGCCGCCAGTTCTGGGCTCCGGGCTCCGCTCTTTGTTCCCGGGCTGGGTGGAGGGGGGCAGGCGAGAGCCAGGTCCACTCGCTCCTGAAAGCCTTGGCCAGCCTTTTGGAGCCCAGAGAGGAGACGGGGCCCAGCCTGCAACCCTGGGCGGGGTGCCGTCGGGACTTCCTGAGATCAGCCACGAGATCACCTCCTGTAACGCCCACAACCAGTGGGGTAGACAGCCGGCATCCAGATTTAGGAGGCGATCGATGCTCAGGTGAAGCGGGCATCCCAGCCCGGGTGAAGGTCAACTACAGGCTCCCGGCCGCAAACAAATTTCTTAACCAATGGTGCCCACGCCCCCGAGGGCTGGCCTCTGAGACTTGCTGCGTGCCTCAGTTTCCGCGGTGGTTAAATGGTAGCTAGACTAGTGCCCTACTGGGCGGGGTGGCTGTGAGATCAGAAACGAAGGGCCCCATCTGTCCGCAGTGCCCGGCACGGAGATGGCCTGGAGGCGCTGAACGCAATGCGCCACCCGCGGGGTGCCCACGCCAAGGTGACCACCCTCTCGGCGCGGCTTCTCTAGCTGCAAAAGGAACTAATTAGAGCGGAGGGCGCGGGAGGAAGCGGCGGCGGCGGCGAGGGAGGA